GGCCTGACAGGGCATCACAGTATGGTAAGGGGTGTAACATTTCCGTCACATGCTTGAGGTATTCGGCCAATCACAACGCACTGGATAGCTGGCCAATCAGAGCACACCTCGCTTATCAGACTGATGAACTTTGTAAAAATCGATGCGTTTCAGAAAGGCGGGGCATAGAGGAGAAACAATAATGTACAGTATGTGGAAAATAATGTGTTTTTTGAACCTTACACACATTTAATTACACCAAATACACAAAATAATGTTCTTTTTAGCAACATCATATGACCCCTTTAATTCTCAAATCAGAGGTATAGACAGCTGATGACTCAGCAAACAGATTCATTACACATTTACTTTCAAGAAGAGATCTCCATCTAAATTGTAAATACAGTCAAATAAGTCACATGAATAGCCTGCAACAACATATTAACTATTTTGGCAGATAAATCTTTATTGGAAAGTAAGAACCATTATACAGTAACAACATTTCTAGCAAGTTTATAAATACTTATATACTTAATAATAATAAATACATATAAATGCTCTGTAACTATACCTACAGTGGCTTACAAAAGTCTGAGTCCACTTGTGAAAATGCTTCTTTTATAATATAGCGCATTTATATATAAAACAATTAATTATCAATATAACAATTTGAGTGAAAAGCTGAATGGAAAAAATGAATTTATGATGTCTCAGTTTTTGGCGTGTCGTGATGATCACATTCTCCAGCCTGATTTGAGAAATATGGCTTCTGTATTTTACATCATAATGTTGTTTTCTGTTTTATATTCTTACGAATTTTTAAAATTTTTTATACAGTTTTCCAATTTTCAGTGGGGTCTCAAACGTTTGGAGCCCATTGTATAACGAGTGCATTTGTGGACGCAGTTCTGAACATGTGCTACTTACATATATTGCATAATTGTGCACATATGAGAATAATTTATGAGAAAATCACTGAAAGGCCTCCAGTAATTGGTTGAGAGAAACATCTGTTGGTCATATTTCTATAAACGGGCTCCTCTACGATTGCTACAGAGTTCCCATGATGTCTCCTGCATGAAAGAGATGGAGAGAATCATACAGAAATAATGAATGATTAAATTACAGCACAACCAAAGAATAAGAAGCAAGGCAACTCAAGTGAAAGACTATACTGTAGATGTAAAGAATTTATAAGGAAGAATAAAAGAGGAAAAACAACACATGTATCAAGGCGGGTTATGGAATAGGATCAAACTTGTTGCTAGTAAATTCTCCACGTCAGAGGGCTCATTGTTCCAGGAACACGCATATATATGTTTTTATGACATGGTATATTTAGCACAAACTTGTTTTGTGTATGTCTTTGTATAATATGTGCTCACCTGAGGTTGTTTTACTTTTTGGGGGCTCATTTTTATGAAAATACCATTCAACTACCATTCAAAAGTGTGGGGTTGGTATGTATTCGATTAAAAATACAGAAAAAAATGATAATAAAATAAGAAAAGTGTAATATATTTTAAAATGTAATTTATTCCTGTGATGCAAAGCTGAATTTTATTATTATTATTATTATTATTTATTATTCATATCATTCTAATATGCTGATTTGCTGCTCAAGAAACATTTCGTATTATTATCAGTTGAAAACAGCTGCTTTATATTTTTGTGGAAACTGTGATGCATTTTTTTTCAGGATTCTTTGATGAATAGAATGTTCAAAATAACAGCAGTTATTTGAAATTCATTTAATTTCATTTAAATTTCCTTAAGTTCACACAAAGAAACGGGGTGTTTAATAAGGCCATTTTTATTTACGCATTTGACAAAGGCAGTCACTGCCATTTTTGGAATGTTAAATTTCGAGTTCAGGGCACGTGCATTTGCATTAAGAGTATTAGGTATCAGTTTCCATAAATCTTTGATGTGTGTCAGAAACTGCCATAAAGGTTTCATCTCCTTGATACTAACAAAACTTCAGATGTGATTCATGCAAATTCTTTTATGAATACTTTTATGAATAAAAACATACTTTATATTATTTGTAATCGATAACAGTGATTTTGAATTTAGTAAAAATGAACAATGAACATTGTACTTTTGAATGGGTGATCGAACACAATAGGACTAATTTACCCGTGAACTTATATATAATAGTCTGTATTGTGCAATTATGTTCATGTTTTTTTGTGCCGCGGGATTAAATTCCCGAATAAAACGCGGTAGCGGTCGGTAACTCTGGTGTAATTTGAACGGGAA